AGACCTGGAGAGGCGGAGAGAGAGAAAGACCGACAGAGGAGGGAGAGAGAGAGAGACCGACAGAGGCGAGAGAGAGAGAGAGAGAGGGAGACCCGGACAGAGGCGGGAGAGAGAGAGAGAGGGAGACCCGGACAGAGGCGGAGAGAGAGAGAGAGAGGGAGACCCGGACAGAGGCGGAGAGAGAGAGAGAGGAGACCCGGACAGAGGCGGAGAGAGAGAGAGAGACCCGGACAGAGGCGGAGAGAGAGAGAGAGACCGGGACAGAGGCGGAGAGAGAGAGAGAGACCCAGACAGAGGCAGGAGAGGAGAGAGAGACCCGACAAGGCGGAAGAGAGAGAGACCCGGACAGAGGCAGGAGAGAGAGAGAGAGACCCGGACTGAGGCGGGAGAGAGAGAGAGAGACCGACAGAGGCAGGAGAGAGAGGGAGACCCGGACAGAGGCGGAGAGAGAGAGAGACCGACGGAGGCGGAGAGAGAGACGCGGACAGAGGCGGGAGAGAGAGAGAGAGACCCGGACAGAGGCGAAAAGAGAGAGAGACCCGGACTGAGGCGGGAGAGAGAGAGGGAGAGAGAGACCCAGACAGAGGCGGGAGAGAGAGAACGACAGAGGCGGAGAGAGAGAGAGACCGAACAGAGGAGGAGAGAGAGGGAGACCGCGGAGGCGGAGAGAGAGGGAGACCCGGACAGAGGCGGAGAGAGAGAGAGAGGGAGACCCGGACTGAGGCGGGAGAGAAAGAGGGAGAACCGGACAGTGGTGGGAGAGAGAGGAGACCCGGACAGAGGCGGAGAGAGAGAGAGAGAGAGAGACCCGGACAGAGGCGGAAAAGAGAGAGAGACCCGGACAAGGAGGGAGGAGAGAGGGAGACCCGGACAGAGGCGGAGAGAGGGAGACCCGGACAGAGGAGGGAGAGAGAGAGAGAGACCGACAGAGGAGGGAGAGAGAGAGAGAGAGAGACCCGGACAGAGGCGGAGAGAGAGAGAGAGACCCGGACAGAGGAGAGGAGAGGAGACCCGGACAGAGGCGGAGAGAGAGAGAGAGACCCGGACTGAGGCGGAGAGAGAGAGGGAGAGAGAGACCCAGACAGAGGCGGGAGAGAGAGAACGACAGAGGCGGAGAGAGAGAGAACCCGAACAGAGGAGGAGAGAGAGGGAGAGCCGGACAGAGGCGGGGGAGAGAGAGAGAGAGGGAGACGCGGACGAGAGGGGAGAGAAAGAGGGAGACCGGACAGTGGCGGGTGAGAGAGGGAGACCCGGACAGAGGCGGGAGAGAGAGAGAGAGGGAGACCCGACAGAGGCGGGAGAGAGAGAGAAAGACCGGACAAGAGGCAGGAGAGGAGAGAGAGACCGACAGAGGCGGGAGAGAGAGGAGACCCGGACAGAGGTAGAGAGAGAGAGAGACCGACAGAGGCGGGAGAGGGAGAACCGGACAGAGGCGGGAGAGAGAGAGAGACCCGGACAGAGGCGGAGAGAGAGAGAGAGGGAGACCGGACAGAGGCGGAGAGAGAGAGAGAGAGAGGGAGACCAGGACAGCGGGAGAGAGAGAGAGAGAAAGAGAGACCCGGACAGAGGCGAGAGAGAGAGAGAGACCCGACAGAGGCGGGAGAGAGAGAGAGAGACCCAGAGAGGCGGGAGAGAGAGAGAGAGAGACCCGGACAGAGGAGGGAGAGAAAGAGATAAGAGGAGACCGGACAGAGGCAGGAGAGAGAGAGAGAGAGAGAGACCGACAGAGGCGGGAGAGAGAGAGAGAGAGACCCGGACAGAGGAGGGAGAGAGAGAGAGAGAGGGAGACCCGGGAGAGGCGGAGAGAGAGAGGGAGACCCGGACAGAGGCGGAAAAAAGAGAGAGAGACCCGGACAGAGGAGGAGAGAGAGGAGACCCGGACAGAGGCGGGAGAGAGAGAGAGAGGGAGACCCGACAGAGGCGGGAGAGAGAGAGAGACCTGGACAGAGGCGGGAGAGAGAGAAAGACCGAAAGAGGAGGGAGAGAGAGAGAGAGACCGACAGAGGGAGAGAGAGAGAGAGAGGGAGACCCGGACAGAGGCGGAGAGAGAGAGAGAGGGAACCCGGACAGAGGCGGAGAGAGAGAGAGGAGACCGGACAGAGGCGGGAGAGAGAGAGAGACCCGGACAGAGGCGGAGAGAGAGAGAGAGACCCAGACAGAGGCAGGAGAGAGAGAGAGACCGACAGAGGCGGGAGAGAGAGGAGACCCGGACAGAGGCAGGAGAGAGAGAGAGAGACCCGGACTGAGGCGGGAGAGAGAGAGGAGAGAGAGACCCAGACAGAGGCGGAGAGAGAACGACAGAGGCGGAAAGAGAGAGAGACCAACAGAGGAGGGAGAGAGGGAGACCCGGACAGAGGCGGGGAGAGAGAGAGAGAGGAGACCCGGACTGAGGCGGGAGAGAAAGAGGGAGACCGGACAGGGCGGGAGAGAGAGGGAGACCCAGACAGAGGCGGAGAGAGAGAGAGGAGACCCGGACAGAGGCGGAGAGAGAGAGAGGAGACCCGACAGAGGGGGAGAGAGAGAGACCCGGACAGAGGCGGGAGAGAGAGGGAGACCGGACAGAGGAGGGAGAGAGAGAGACGACAGGGGAGAGAGAGAGCCCAGACAGAGGAGAGAGAGAGAGACCGACAGAGGCGGAAGAGAGAGAGACCCGGACAGAGGGGGAGAGAGGGAGACCCGGACAGAGGCGGGAGAGAGAGAGAGAGAGACCCGGACAGAGGCGGGAGAGAGAGAAAGACCCGGACAGAGGCGGAGAGAGAGAGAGCGAAGAAAGGCGGGGAGAGAGAGAGACCCGGACAGAGGCGGAGAGAGAGAGAGAGAGACCGGACAGAGGCGGGAGAGAGAGAGAGAGAGACCGAACAGAGGCGGAGAGAGAGGGAGACCCGGACAGAGGCAGGAGAGAGAGAGAGAGACCGGACAGAGGCGGGAGAGAGAGAGAGAGAGAGAGACCCAGACAGAGGCGGGAGAGAGAGAGAGACCCGACAGAGGCGGAGAGAGAGAGAGACCGAACAGAGAGGGAGAGAGAGAGAGGGAGACCGACAGAGGGGAGAGAGAGAGAGAGAGGGAGACCCGACAGAGGCGGAGAGAAAGAGGGAGACCGACAGAGGCGGAGAGAGAGGGAGACCCGGACAGAGGCGGGAGAGAGAGAGAGAGAGGGAGACCCGGACAGAGGCGGAGAGAGAGAGGGAGACCCGGACAGAGGCGGAGAGAGAGAGAGACCCGAAGAGGCGGGAGAGAGAGGGAGACCCGACAGAGGGGGAGAGAGAGAGAGACCCAGAGGCGGAGAGAGAGAGAGAGAGACCCGGACAGAGGAGGGAGAGAGAGAGAGAGAGACCGACAGAGGAGGGAGAGAGAGGGAGACCGGACAGAGGCGGAGAGAGAGAGAGAGAGACCGACAGAGGGAGAGAGAGAGGGAGAGAGAGACCCAGACAGAGGGGGAGAGAGAGAACGCATAGAGGCGGAGAGAGAGAGAGACCAACAGAGGAGGGAGAGAGAGGGAGACCCGGACAGAGGGGGGGAGAGAGAGAGAGAGAGGGAGACGTGACGAGAGGGGAGAAAGAGGGAGACCGGACAGAGGCGGGAGAGGAACAGACAGAGGGGAGAGAGAGAGAGAGAGGGAGACCCGGACAGAGGGAGAGAGGAAGACCCAGACAGAGGAGGAGAGAGAGAGAGAGACCGACAGAGGGGGAGAGAGAGAGAGAGACCGACAGGGGGAGAAGAGACCCGGACAGAGGAGAGAGAGAGGAGACCGCGGGAGAGGGAGACCCGGACAGAGGGAGAGAGAGAGAGAGACCGACAGAGGGGAGAGAGAGAGAAAGAACAGAGGCAAGAGAACGAAGAGGGGAGAGAGAGAGAGACCCGAACAAGGAGGGAGAGAAGGAGACCCGGACAGAGGCGGAGAGAGAGAGAGGAGACGCGGACTGAGGCGGGAGAGAAAGAGGGAGACCCGGACAGTGGCGGGTGAGAGAGGGAGACCCGGACAGAGGCGGGAGAGAGAGAGAGAGAGGGAGACCCGGACAGAGGCAGGAGAGAGAGAGAGAGAGAGAGTGACCCGGACAGAGGAGGGAGAGAAAGAGATAGAGGGAGACCTGGACAGAGGTGGGAGAGAGAGAGAGAGAAAGAGAGACCGACAGCGAGGGAGAGAGAGAAAGAGACCTGGACAGAGGCGGAGAGAGAGAGAGAGAGACCGACAGAGGAGGAGAGAGAGACCCGACAGAGGCGAGAGAGAGAGAGAGAGAGAGAGAGAGACACGGACAGAGGCGGGAGAGAGAGAGAGAGAGGGAGACCTGGACAGAGGCGGGAGAGAGAGGGAGAGAGGGAGACCCGGACAGAGGCGGGAGAGAGAGAGAGAGAGGGAGACCCGGACAGAGGCGGGAGAGAGAGAGAGACCCAGACAGAGGCAGGAGAGAGAGAGAGAGACCGACAGAGGCGGGACCAAGGTTTACGAACAAGGTAGTTAAACAGAAAACACTAGGTTAAGTTGAAACGGACAACATAATAGATAGGACCAAAGTCCAACCTTCTCTTGGTTAAAGACACCATTTTACAGGTTACAACAAAAACCAGTTATATCTTTTGTGAGTGTGTCCACAGGACTTACCTTCAACTTAGATTGTTAACTGAAGTCTCCTGTAGAGCCCAGATAGCTCAGGCGGTAGAGCATCAGACTTTTAATCTGTGGGTCCACCCTGTTTGGGTGCTGTAATACCTGCTTGTTTAACCCTCCAAATCTCTCTGAGAGGACCACTGAAGGCAAACAAATGACAATCTTCAGGAGTATTTTGTTCAGCAAGAACAATCTGTAAACTAAGAAAACATACAGCAGGTTGCTAAGTTACTGATGATTCTTAGGTGAAAGAGTTGCTAGCTGAACTTTGTCACCTTTAGCATGAGGTTGAAAAAGACGTGGATGGTCATCACAGAGATTCGAGTCCATATGATAGTATCCGTGTTAGACTGTGCAGAATATCAGTAGTCCGTGCGCAAAAGGGCATCCTCAATGACCACGACGTGATTTGAACACGCAACCTTCTTATCTGGAGTCAGACGCGCGCTACCGTTGCGCCAGCGAGGTCACAGCAAGCAAGCCATAGCGCATCATGGTGCAAGGCATATTTGTTCATGGTTGCAACCGAAACACACATTGGAACTCAGATACAAGTGGTGGGCTGTGACTTTTGTGACTAGAGTCTGACATCTGGGCAAGAGTTTCTTCAGAAGACAAGGCACAAGCCCTTTCACGGCATAACCTGACTGGCTTCCCCTTCCCCTTGACTTTAAGGGAGATTTTCACGCTCAAATGGCAGATCTCACACCAGTGCATGAGAGTGAAGCGTGGACAACTTATACCTGAAGCGCAACTTGGAGACTCAACTGCCTATGTGATAGAACCATGGTTCAACTTTCTTTTGGGTAACTTCCACATTTACCACTTGTACGAGGCCTTTGTGTCATTATATGTGTCAGAAGACGGTAATACTGATGATTCTAGTAGGTGAAAGAGTTAGCTTAACTTTGTCACCTTTTAGCATGAGGTTGACAAAGACGTGATGGTCATCACAGAGATCCGAGTCCATATGATAGTATCCGTATTAGACTGTGCAGAAAATCAACAGTCTGTGTGAAGAAGAGCACACTCAATGACCCAGATGTGATTTGGAACACACAACCTTCTGATCTGGAGTCAGACGCGCTACCAGCAGGCAGCCATAGCGCACCATGGTGCAAGGCATTCTTCTTCTTGGTTGCACTGATCAAGACACATTGGAACTCAGAGACAAGTGGTGGGCTGTGACTTTTGTGACTAGAGTCTGACATCTGGGCAAGAGTTTCTTCACAAGACAAGGCACAAGCATTTTCACGGCATAACCTGACTGGCTTCCCTTCCCTTGACTTTAAGGGAGATTTTCAAGCTCAAATGGCAGATCTCACCTCAGTGCGTGAGAGTGAAGCGTTGGACAACTTATACCTGAAGCCCAACTTGGAGACTCAACCTGCCTATGTGATAGAACCATGGTTCAACTCTTTTTTGGTTAACTTCACACATTTACCACTTGTACGAGGCCTTTGTGTCATTATATGTGTCAGATGATGTGTCAGAATCAGTGGCAACGGTGGAATAAAGCTGCTTCTTGGCAGTCATACAGAGCCAAGATTGCACGTCTGTTTGTGAGTGGGACTAACTTGTTTGATAGTCATTTGGTCTCCTTGTCGCAGAAAAGACAAGTTTAATTAAATATGCTGATGCTTTTCAAATTATTCTCATACCATGACAAGCAAGGCATTCTTTGAACCAAGACAACACTTCAGAGTTAGCCTCATGAATAAGAGTTATGCTGGTAACAATTTGCAAGTGACATGATGGTCAAAAGGCTACTAGTTGTAAAGGAAAATACGAACAAGGTAGTTAAACAGAAAACACTAGGGTTAAGTTGAAACGGACAACATAATAGATAGGACCAAAGTCCAACCTTCTCTTGGTTAAAGACACCATTTTACAGGTTACAAAAAACCAGTTATATCTTTGTGAGTGTGTCCACAGGACTTACCTTCAACTTAGATTGTTAACTGAAGTCTCCTGTAGAGCCCAGATAGCTCAGGCGGTAGAGCATCAGACTTTTAATCTGTGGGTCCCCCCTGTTTGGGTGCTGTAATACCTGCTTGTTTAACCCTCCAAATCTCTCTGAGAGGACCACTACAGGCAACAAAATGACAATCTTCAGGAGTATTTTGTTCAGCAAGAACAATCTGTAAACTAAGAAAACATACAGCAGGTTGCTAAGTTACTGATGATTCTTAGGTGAAAGAGTTGCTAGCTGAACTTTGTCACCTTTAGCATGAGGTTGAAAAAGACGTGGATGGTCATCACAGAGATTCGAGTCCATATGATAGTATCCGTATTAGACTGTGCAGAATATCAGTAGTCCGTGTGCAAAAGGGCATCCTCAATGACCACGACGTGATTTGAACACGCAACCTTCTGATCTGGAGTCAGACGCGCCCCACCGCGCCCACGAGGTCAAGCTAGTAAGCCATAGCGCATCATGGTGCAAGGCATATTTGTTCATGGTTGCACTGATCAAGACACATTGGAACTCAGAGACAAGTGGTGGGCTGTGACTTTTGTGACTAGAGTCTGACATCTGGGCAAGAGTTTCTTCAGAAGACAAGGCACAAGCCCTTTCACGGCATAACCTGACTGGCTTCCCTTCCCTTGACTTTAAGGGAGATTTTCAAGCTCAAATGGCAGATCTCACACCAGTGCATGAGAGTGAAGCGTGACAACTTATACCTGAAGCGCAACTTGGAGACTCAACTGCCTATGTGATAGAACCATGGTTCAACTTTTCTTTGGGTAACTTCACACATTTACCACTTGTACGAGGCCTTTGTGTCATTATATGTGTCAGAAGACTAAGTTACTGATGATTCTTAGGTGAAAGAGTTGTTAGCTTAACTTTGTCACCTTTAGCATGAGGTTGACAAAGACGTGGATGGTCATCACAGAGATTCGAGTCCATATGATAGTATCCGTAATAGACTGTGCAGAAAATCAACAGTCTGTGTGAAGAAGAGCACACTCAATGACCCAGATGTGATTTGAACACACAACCTTCTGATCTGGAGTCAGACGCGCTACCAGCAGGCAAGCCATAGCGCACCATGGTGCAAGGCATTCTTCTTCATGGTTGCACTGATCAAGACACATTGGAACTCAGAGACAAGTGGTGGGCTGTGACTTTGCGTAGAGTCTGACATCTGGGCAAGAGTTTCTTCAGAAGACAAGGCACAAGCCCTTTCACGGCATAACCTGACTGGCTTCCCCTTCCCTTGACGTTAAGGGAGATTTTCAAGCTCAAATGGCAGATCTCACCTCAGTGCGTGAGAGTGAAGCGTTGGACAACTTATACCTGAAGCCCAACTTGGAGACTCAACTGCCTATGTGATAAACCATGGTTCAACTTTCTTTTGGTTAACTTCACACATTTTACCACTTGTACGAGGCCTTTGTGTCATATATATGTGTCAGATGATGTGTCAGAATCAGTGGCAACGGTGGAATAAAGCTGCTTTTGCGAGTCATACAGAGCCAAGATTGCACGTCTGTTTGTGAGTGGGACTAACTTGTTTGATAGTCATTTGGTCTCCTTGTGCAGAAAAGACAAGTTTAATTAAATATGCTGATGCTTTTCAAATTATTCTCATACCATGACAAGCAAGGCATTCTTTTGGAACCAAGACAACACTTCAGAGTTAGCCTCATGAATAAGAGTTATGCTGGTAACAATTTGCAAGTGACATGATGGTCAAAAGGCTACTAGTTGTAAAGGAAAATACGAACAAGGTAGTTAAACAGAAAACACTAGGGTTAAGTTGAAACCGAAACATAATAGATAGGACCAAAGTCCAACCTTCTCTTGGTTAAAGACACCATTTTACAGGTTACACAAAACCAGTTATATCTTTGTGAGTGTGTCCACAGGACTTACCTTCAACTTAGATTGTTAACTGAAGTCTCCTGTAGAGCCCAGATAGCTCAGGCGGTAGAGCATCAGACTTTTAATCTGTGGGTCCGCCCTGTTTGGGTGCTGTAATACCTGCTTGTTTAACCCTCCAAATCTCTCTGAGAGGACCACTGAAGGCAACAAAATGACAATCTTCAGGAGTATTTTGTTCAGCAAGAACAATCTGTAAACTAAGAAAACATACAGCAGGTTGCTAAGTTACTGATGATTCTTAGGTGAAAGAGTTGCTAGCTGAACTTTGTCACCTTTTAGCATGAGGTTGAAAAAGACGTGGATGTTGCACTGATCAAGACACATTGGAACTCAGAGACAAGTGGTGGGCTGTGACTTTTGTGACTAGAGTCTGACATCTGGGCAAGAGTTTCTTCAGAAGACAAGGCACAAGCCCTTTCACGGCATAACCTGACTGGCTTCCCCTTCCCTTGACTTTAAGGGAGATTTTCAAGCTCAAATGGCAGATCTCACACCAGTGCATGAGAGTGAAGCGTGGACAACTTATACCTGAAGCGCACTTAAAGACTCAACTGCCTATGTGATAGAACCATGGTTCAACTTCTCTTTGGGTAACTTCACACATTTACCACTTGTACGAGGCCTTTGTGTCATTATATGTGTCAGAAGACTAAGTTACTGATGATTCTTAGGTGAAAGAGTTGTTAGCTTAACTTTGTCACCTTTAGCATGAGGTTGACAAAGACGTGGATGGTCATCACAGAGATTCGAGTCCATATGATAGTATCCGTAATAGACTGTGCAGAAAATCAACAGTCTGTGTGAAGAAGAGCACACTCAATGACCCAGATGTGATTTGAACACACAACCTTCTGATCTGGAGTCAGACGCTACCAGCAGGCAAGACATAGCGCACCATGGTGCAAGGCATTCTTCTTCATGGTTGCACTGATCAAGACACATTGGAACTCAGAGACAAGTGGTGGGCTGTGACTTTTGCGACTAGAGTCTGACATCTGGGCAAGAGTTTCTTCAGAAGACAAGGCACACGCCCTTTCACGGCATAACCTGACTGGCTTCCCCTTCCCTTGACGTTAAGGGAGATTTTCAAGCTCAAATGGCAGATCTCACCTCAGTGCGTGAGAGTGAAGCGTGTTGGACAACTTATACCTGAAGCCCAACTTGGAGACTCAACTGCCTATGTGATAGAACCATGGTTCAACTTTCTTTTGGTTAACTTCACACATTTACCACTTGTACAAGGCCTTTGTGTCATTATATGTGTCAGATGATGTGTCAGAATCAGTGGCAACGGTGGAATAAAGCTGCTTCTTGCGAGTCATACAGAGCCAAGATTGCACGTCTGTTTGTGAGTGGGACTAACTTGTTTGATAGTCATTTGGTCTCCTTGTGCAGAAAAGACAAGTTTAATTAAATATGCTGATGCTTTTCAAATTATTCTCATACCATGACAAGCAAGGCATTCTTTGAACCAAGACAACACTTCAGAGTTAGCCTCATGAATAAGAGTTATGCTGGTAACAATTTGCAAGTGACATGATGGTCAAAAGGCTACTAGTTGTAAAGGAAAATACGAA